CCCCCCCCCCACACACACACACATACGCGCGCGCTCACACACACACACACGCGCGCGCGCGCACACACGCACACGCACACACACTCACTCGTCACTGACGCTCCAACACGGCAGACGCCCCTCGACGATGGCTGCGTAGGCCGCGAGCACCGCGAGTGAGCCGAGCCTGAGGCGGCCAATCACCGCCCAGTGAAAACCAAATATCGACGCGACTTCGAACCGACGTCGAAAAACATAGAGGGGCTTTACAACATCGTTTCGACATCGTTCGGACTGTTACTCCTCACCGGGGAGGAGAGCAACGCCCTGCGTGCGTATGGGCGAAGGGGCCGGAGGGGGGGGGGGGAATGATGCTCACCAGCGCGTACACGCCCATGACGAAGGAGGCCACCATGAGGCTGCAGCAGAGGCACGAGTCCACGAGCGCCATCTTGAGCAAGCAGTCCAGGGGTCGTTGGGGGTGACGATGTTGCACAGCCGCGCTGTGGCCGCTGGGGGTCACCGGGACCGCGGGGGCGGCGGGCCGGGCTGCCCCGGCTAGCCCGGCTCCTGGAGGCGCGGGCCGCAGCCCATCCGGCCTCAGGAGCAGATGTCACTGCACTTGCACACACACACGCACACACGCACAAGAACACACACTCAGGCACGGGGACCGGGCACCGGCATACTGTCCAGGGAGGGGCGTTATCGGCGTGGTGCTCGGGCGGACGTCACCGGCCGGGCGAGGCGGGGAGGACGGCGTCGAGCTCCTCGTCCAGCTCCATGGCGGTGCGCGCCGCCGGGAGCGACGTGCAGCACGCCCACCTCGGGGCGCCGCGTGCTCGCGCGGAATGCGGTCACGCGACGACGTCGCCGTCACGAGCCAATCGCTGAGGACACGCCAACGGGCGCGCACGCACACGCACACACCTGCGTCTACAACGGTGGCGGCAGCCGAGCAGCTGGGGTGCCCGGTCTCGGTGCGCGACGCGGTCCGGTCGGTACGGCGGCCCCCGCCACACTGAGGCCCCGGCCGGCCCGGCCCCCCGCCGCCGCCACGCCGCGGCCCGCGAGCTGCAGCCCGGGGACGGGCGGGGAGCGGCGCGGCAGTGGCGCCCGCGGGCGTGGCCCGGCGGGGCGTGGCGGGGCGTGCGGGTCAGGCGACCTGCTCTGCCGCTCTCTGCCTGCCTCTCTTCTCCCCCTCTCTGTCTCTCTCTCTCTCTCTCCTTACCGACCTTTCCCCTCCACACCCTCAAATACATACTTCGAGAGGAACGAGATTAGTCAGGTGAAAAATGACGTAACCTTCCTTACATGGCTGTTGCGAGCGCGCCACTCCAACTCAAACGGTGCTCACACACCCTGTAAGGAATTTGGTATTTCAGGGGCAGGGACCGGCGGCCTCGGGGGACTGTCGAGCGCAATGTACTGGGAAGGCAGGCTTCCCCGGCAGCACTCTAGCCAGCAGCCGGGCCAGAGAAATGCAATAGCCCCGCGCGGCACGGGCCGTGCTCTGCACCATCCTCTGCGGAAATATAAAACTGCCGTCCTTAGGCGCCCTTCGCAGACCGGCATAAGAAACAGAGCAGAGCTACTGCAGCTGTAGCCGGTGCAGCTGCAGTTGGTGCACTTGTAAGTTGTAGACGTTGCAGCAGCGGCTGTTTCAGCTGCCGGTGCAGCTTCGGCCGCTGCAGTTATAGTCGGTGGGGGTGCAACTATTTCAACTGCAGGCCGGTGCATCTGCGGCACTTTTCAGCTGTACCTGTCGCAGCTGCGCCAACTGCGGCCGCTGGAGTTGCAGCCAGTGCAGCTGCGGCGTTTTCAGCTGTTGCTGTGGCAGCTACCGCTGCAGCACTTGTTGCCGGTGCAGCAGTGGTTGTTTCAGAGCTATGTAGCCGGTCCAGCTGCGGCTGTTTCAGGTGCAGACATAAGCCGGCGCCGGTGCAGCTGTGGCTGTTTCAGGTGCAACCGGTAAGCCGGCCCCGCCCGATGCAGCTGCAGGCGCCGGTCGGTGGCACGGCGGCGGCGCTGACCGGACCGGGCGGTGCCCTTGGGACAGGACGGGGGCGCCGCCGATTGTCGTGCAGCAACTGGACAACAGCTGGGCACGGGCGCGACGGAGGGCCTACGGGAGGAGGAGGAGGAGGAGGAGGAGGAGGAAGAAGAGGCCCCCCGCAATGAGTGGAAAGGAGGGAGGGGGGAGGGGAGGGGAGGAGAGGGGGAGGAGGAGGAGAGGGAGGTGGCGCACGACGGTAATTAAGCCCGGGCCCCGGGGCACAGCGAGGCACGCGACGGGCACAGTCAGGCACTTCAGGACGAGGAATGCGGCGGGTGAAGCAGGCGGCCGGGTCGGGCCGGGCCGGGTCGGGCGAGAGGAGAGTGTCGGGAGGGAATGACGCCGGGGCGCCGCCGCCGCCGCCTCGTCGCGCGTGTTCCGCGACGCCTCCCGATCTGCATTGTTGCGGGTGGCGCGTGTCGTGTCTGGCCGCGCCCCCGACGCGCCCCCTCCTCCCCGCCGCTCCCTTCCACCG